AGAAAGATCAACTCAAACCCCAGCTGAGAATGACAGTTAATTAAGAAGAGATAATTAGTGAGGAGGGTTAACATTGTCTTATATCCAGAGAAAGAAATAGGTAACAAATGTCCCCAATTTAGATCATGTAAATGGTATAATTATATTCATTTTTAATTATCATTTTATACCAGATAGTATATGTATTTATTTACTGAACTATCTTCAACCAGAAGAAGTGTTATTTTTCATACATTATTTATTGAGTTCTTTATGTTCATTTTTTCTGTCAAAATAGTCTCATCTCCACTTATTATGTGGAAGCTTTTGCCTATGATGGCCACCCTTCCTGAAATATGAGGAAATTTTTAGCCCTCATCCCTGGTGGAATCGAAGACCATAGCCCTTACTACACCTCGCTGATTATGTCCTAGGAAGATCCTAAAGGGGTGGTCTCAGAACAAGCTCTCAACTATCAGATGTAGCAATGGGGGAGAGTCCAAAGGAAGATGGTGCTCAGAACCCACACTAAACATGATTTTAAAATTTCACAAGAATAAAATTGCTTTTATAAGGAGAAAAACAGATTAAATTCCCGCTCACAGTCTTGATAGGAGTACTTTTGAATTGGGGATGGATAAAAGTCAGATTAGGAAGGGATAATGAGAAAACGACTTTGGCAATTGAGCTCCGTGAGCAGGAGGGACCACTGGCATTTGTTGTTATTTCATCTATGTTACAACGAAAGGGATCTTTCACTGGATTGCATCACAGGAGAAAAAGAATTCTGCCTGCCTCCTGTTCTCTCGCTTGGGGCGTGAGATTAAGTCTGGTTATGTTTCGTGTCCAGTAATTTTTTGTTTAACATTAAAGTCTGGTGATTTTACTATTTTTTTAATTTCAGATTAATATGAGGGTGCGATGATTAGGCTACAATGTTAAGTCTTGTGAATTTGGATGGCATCAGTTTAGCACTTGTGACATAACTTAGATACGTTATGACATAACTTAGATACATTTTTATCTTTGTTCTACTCTTGAAGGAGGATTTTAAAGAATGAATAGGGAAATGTAGTTGGAGGATTTCAATCATTTTGGCTGAAGGATGTTAGGGAATAATATCCTTTATTTAAATGCAAAGAGGTGTTAGTTGTGAATGGATTCCTTTGCCAGAACCTGTACTATGAAGAGCTTTAGCTTTATGTAAGCTCACTGGGCCCTACTTGTAAAATTAGGGTCATTGCTTTCTTGGGATTTTAATTCCTAATTTGTCATCAGACTTAGATTTGAATCCAGTAGTTTCCACATACATAGCTGCACTATCTTGGCGAGTTAGACAATCTCTCAGAACTTCAATTTATTTTTCTCTTAAATATGATTAATGTAAGTATTTTTCTCAAAGATTAGTCAGAAGGTTAAATTTGGTAATAAATCTAAACTATTTGTATTAATGACTCCATCCTAGACCCCCAACAGGAGTTAACTGTTATTAACATTTACCTAAAAATTAAATGAGAAGGATTCTGTAGTAAACTCTCTGAAAAATACATGCATGTTCTTAAATTGCAATATAGATTTTTTTGTGAATTCATTCTTCCTTTCTTGCCAGTGAGCAAGAATTAAATATGATGCTTATAAGACATCCATGTTGAGGGCTAACTTTGACCTGCTTATTTTTTTAGTTGAAAACAATCGTTTATCTATAGGGAATTTTTTAGAATATTTTGCTTTATTCATGAGAAATTATATAAATGTACAAAGCAGCAAACAGAATTTATGAGAATAAATGAGTTGATGATCAGGAGAAATGAAACCCAGATTCTAGAGGTAGCTCGGTTTGTCCTTTGGAAAATTGTTTAATCTACCTACCTGGGTTTCAGTTTCTTCCAAGTTTAGAGAAGAAACTTGTCCCGCACAATTTCTGTGGCCATTTAGAGTTCTCAAATTTTGATCCTACCATAAACTCAGAACAACTCTATTTTCAAAATTATCATATTTATCTACAGCCAATGTTGAATTATGTACCTTTGCTTCAACTTACTTTTCAGACGTAACAAGGATGATGACATGATTTCTTTATCTTGAAGTTGACTTGCTTTTCAAAATCTTGATTAGGTTATCAAGTGATTTTTTTTTTTTAAAGAATGTTTAGCTCCCCTATTCTAGTTCTGAGAAGATTAACGCAGCCACATTGCGGGAAGACCCAAGTCTTCCTGTCACTTTGTTTGAAAAGGAAATTACATAAATTATACATAACAACATTTACTGTTCAGTTGTTTAGTAAAAGTCGTTTTTAAAAATTAAAAAGAAGTTGAAAGAAAATGCTACCAAGTAATTTTAATTGAAGGGATATTTCACCTATATTCTCCTTATTCAACAAACTTACACATTTAGGGAACTTATGTGTTTATTAACACAATTTAATCTATGTAATAATTGCATAGTCTTTATATATTTCTAATTTGGAATGGAGAAATCTGATGAAGAGAGAAAAATAGAAGTAATGAAGACTAAAATATATTTCTATGAATCCCACATGATTATCAGGAGTTGGATTAAGAAAAGAGAGGATTCTCAGGTTTTATTTAGATTCTGTTAATTTTATACTCGGTACCAGATAAAGGATCTAATAATGAATTTTTTAAAGGGTAAACTCTCACCCCCATTTGAATAATGAAACTACAATCAAATATAAATGTTTTTCTTTATTTATAATGAAATGTTCTTCTTCTTCTTTTTTATTCTTATTCTCTAATTCTATATTCTTAATTCTTATTCTTACTCTATAATACCCTTTGCCTCAAAAATTAGCTCAATCAAGAGGAATGTTAGTGAGTACGTAGTTCCCATGGAGATAAGATTATAATACAATTTTAACCCAGGTGGTGGCCATCTCTTCATGAGACACTGATTTTATAAATTAATATTTATTTAGTTTCTATGGCACTTTATCAATACGTGGTGGAATAGGAGTAGAGAACTCAATGAGAAAGGATGAGTTTTGAAATTACGCTTACATCTTTATGACTCTATTTTACCCTCTTCCCTGTTCCCACGGCACAGTCATCCTGGCTTTCTTATTTCCTTCTCAAAACACTACTGTTGCATTTTCCCCACCACTTCAGGGGCCCTTCGCTTCTCTTTCTTTTGTAGGAATAACATCACAAATATCCTACTACTTGATTGTCAGAGATGTCTTCCCATCACTGCAGACGTCTCTCAGGGTTTGCAGGGGCGGACTGTTCCCTCGCCCTTCCTTACCTTTGGCCTACAGAGGCTACATTGAGGGGAAGCAGTGAGGAAGTCTGTGGAGGCCTCTGCAGAAATTATTTCCTAGCTCCCCCCAACTCAGAGCCTGGTCTCTTTCTACTCTGTGCAAATTTGGCTGAGGCATTTCTTTGAAAACACTGTGGTCTGAATTTATTTGTTCTAGAATTATTATTGGAGATGTAAACCCCATGGTGCAATTTGCTATGGCACATTTTACACGCCAGAGTTGGTCAAATGACTCAGGTACAGGAAAGGCTTCTTCAAGGTTCTTTTTTAAAAAAAAAGTTTTCAATTAACTTGGAAGCTTCTAATCCATAACATTCACACTTATTTGGACTGAGGCTTTGAAAACCCTAACCCTGTTGCTATAGATGCTAGATTCCCAGAAGATACTTTTATTTTGTGATTTCACATTATTTTACTATCTCATCGAGTTTAATTTTCATGTTATTTCTTATCTACCATTTTCTTATCTTAATTAAAAAAACCTGTTCTATCTCATTAAGTGCTTCACTTTCTGTTAGATGACTTTGCATGTAATTATGGAGAAAAAATGGAAAACTTTTCTATGATTATTACAAATGATATAGAGAGATACAAATAATTTATAGTTAATTAGGAGCTTAGTTGGAGGACTAATTAATTTATATGTGGGCTACATAGAAGATAGATTTCAATATATAACTATTAAAGTAATAATATCAACTCACATCTTATAAAAGAAATAAAACATACATATACACACACAGGCAAACATTATCTCACACTAAAAGCACCACAACTTTGGTATATCAAAATCATTCTAGGACTGAATTTTTTTGTGTGTGTGTATTTAAACTAAGGGAAGTATTTATTTAAGGAAAATCATACATCATGATCAAGTAGGTTTCATCCCAGGGATGCAAGGCTGGTTTAATATACATAAGTGCATAAACATTATTCACTATATCAACAGAAGCAAAAACAAAGACCATATGATCCTCTCAATAGATGCAGAAAAAGCATTTGATAAAATCCAGCATTTTTTTCTAATTAGAACAGTGATGAGTATAGGCATAGGTGGTACATTTCTTATCTGATCAAAGCTTTCTATGACAAACTGACAAACCCATAGCTAATATCTTACTGAAAGGAGCGAAACTGAAAGCTTTTCCACTTAGAACTGGAACCAGACAAGGTTGTCTTCTGTCACCATTACTATTCAGCCTAGTCCTGGAAGTTTTAGCTATTTTCTAAAGTATTTTAATCATATGAATTATGTCACAATTCGACTGTAAATATTCATAATATTTCATATTAAGATTGTTGGACATGGTCTGAGTATCTGTTAGTTTTTTTTAACTATGTTTCAGCCCTGTCACTCGTTTTTGTTTTGTTTTGTTGTACATTGTCATATGTTATAAAAGAATCAAAGAACTTGTTTTATTTGCATAATCCAGTTAGCAATTCTACCATTGACTGCTTAAACTCCAGCTTAATGGCCCAGACTAGAAGCTTGTGACAGCAGGTCTGTGGGAATGAGTGATGGATCTGGGTAGCAACAATAAGTTTAACCTCTAACTAGCTTTCATTTTTCATCTTTGCAATTTCCATTTCCTCTTTTTTTTTTATTAAAATAAGTTCAGTTGAAATAAATGGATACTCCTGCCCGTGTTGATGGTCCTGTGAGCTCTTCTCAGAATAGCGTTGGCCTGCCTATGCATGATACTGTTAATAATTTTTTTCCTATTTTTTTCTCTTTTTCTTTGTAGTCTCGACCTATTCCTTCTCACCTTACTTCAGCAGTTGCAGAGAGTATCTTGGCTTCCGCCTGTGAGAGTGAGAGTAGAAATGCCGCCAAGAGGATGCGTCTGGAGAGGCAACAGGTACTGAGCCTGGGTGGAGTCAGATGCACGCTGGCTAAAGCAAATGCACTTAACACGGTCTGATTTCTATAGAAGAGTACAAACTCGTGAGTGGATTTAAAGTACACAGAGATAGTACCTTTGTGATAGGAATTTAAACTTGAAAATTACATGTTCGTGTGGTCGTGAAGATAAACACTAGAAATTTTCCATGATAAAAAATGAACAGTAATAAAACTAACAAGTTATAATTCTGTTTAGTACACAAATCAGAAGGCTAATGACTAATTAAGAGGTTGTAAGTCTTAATTCATAACCAGAGTTTTGTAAATTGGCCTCATCATTTATGACAGTGGCCTGATTGTTGTCTTCCATTTCTTTTGGTCCACTGTCAAGTGCCCATAGATTATGCTGGTCTGGGGGAAGTACAACATCACTGTGAACTAGAAAACCATCAAATAGGGATAAAACATAATGAAAATCCCCATGTCCTGAGCTTACTCCCTCATTAATTGATCACTTATTGTATGTCCAATGCATATCTGTGTTCCTTTTCTCAGGGTATTTGTGTAGTGTGGAGCAGTATATTTGCAGTTCATTATTCCCTGGTGTTTTACTTAGTCTTCCACTTATCTGAATATTTCTGTCTCCTTCTCATCTCTAAAATGTCTTTCTCTCATCTTAATTATCCACCATAAAAACCAAATTATACCATACTATGTTAAATGTTATACATAAAAGTTTATAGTCTGGTATTTAAATTATTTTTACAACAAAACAACTGGGTGTTTCTTATTTCTAATTGAAGTTGAGAGGAATTGAAATTAATTAAGTTGGTCTAATTTTGTTTCTTCAGTGAGACAGTGGGCTTCAAAGAAAAAAGAAAATAAAGCTTTTCCATTTCAGGCTTGGGATGTTTTGAAATGTTTAAGAATGACATCATCTTTGATTTGACATGTTATTAAAACATTAAGCACTGGTAATTCTGAATGGTGCGAAAGATGAGGTCTTTAGTTAAACAAAAATATTGTTATAGCTTTGGATAAAAAGTATATAAAAATTATAACTTTGAACTTTTCAATCATGCCATCAGTTTTTATTTACGTATCTGTGTCCTCAGTTGAAACTTTATCATTTTTATATCTATAAAATTGACTTACAAGGAGTTACAGCACTAAATGTGACACCGTCCAGCATAGTGGTTAAGGATGGCCATCACGGCACTGAATCCACCTGGGTTTGATTCTTATGTCTACCCCTGCTAATTGTACAGCCTTCAGCAAGCTATTCCAGTTCTGTGTGTTTCAGCTTCTTCATGTGAAAACCAAAAATAATAACAGTACTAATCCTTTGGGATTATTCTAGAACCTTAATGACAGATTCAGGCTATGGTCTTAGCTTTTGCCTAGCACAGAGTAAGTAACTATAATTTCAGCACAGAAGAGAAGACCTTGGTGTCTAGCATTTTTGTTGTTGTATGGCTATCAATAAACTAGAAAGAAGCATTAATCACACTATATCAGGTACAAGAGTTTTGAAGTCAGATTAAGCCCATTCGAGAAAAAGATCCTAATTCTAGAAATAGGAATACTAGATCTCTGGGACTGATAAGCTCTCTTCGTTATCTTCCAGCCATATATCCCAGCTAGTCTGCATTCTAGAATATCCCTCTCTAAGGTCAATTATATAGAGTGTTGTTATGATAATTAAGTAACTGATTCAGGCTATGTTACTGTCTACAGTATGGCTTTACAATATCTTCCAAATCTGGTCATCTGCAATATTTGGTTCAATTATTAACCCTTGTTGACCTACTCTGTAGAATGGGAGAAACAAGTATCAAATTCAACGTTATGATGAGGATTTAAGTCAATGCATATGAAAGCATAATGAATTTTATAAGCTCTCATATTGGCAAAAATAGACAATGGTTGCCATATGCTTGACTATTTCAAGCCCACCCCGGTGATAAAGATCTTGTAGGTACTAATATACTTTCCTACTGTCAGAGAGCTGTAATTGTTTTGAAGCCTTTTAAATTGAGCTCAGATTTGCTTCCTAGAGCTCCACACACTGAAGGAAAACTTCCAGAAATAATGAGCAGTGTGAGTTCCTAGTACCAAGGAACTGTACCAAGAACAGGGAGTGGGAAGGGTGGCCCGGGGCCATGGTCCTTGACCCTACTTCCCACATTAGCTGTTTCCTTTTTCTATGTCTTCATACACAGTGGTTATTTACTGCAAGGCTCTGTCCCCTAGGAATGGAGGATGCCCAATATCATCTCCATTTAGGAATGTCCTTACAGGCTCTAAAAGGTTCAGAGGGCTTGAGATTTGTGGGGAACAAAAAATAAATGATTTTGTTAAATTTCACTCAATGATTTATTGGAAAAATCCATTAACCACTTTATGGACATTTAAAATTTCTTATTCCCAACAATCCCATGAGAGTAAATAGAATTATTCTCATTTTTATGTAAGGAAAAACCTTCTTTGCCCAAGTAGAAATAGCCAGAGTTCTCTGGCATGTTGGCAATGAGCTTATCCTTTCTGTGTGCATTCATTACTCACTCATAATTCACAGAACTTTACAGGGACTCAGAGTTTCCTCATTGTGCCTCTGACTTCCCAGAAGGGCACAAACAATTCAAAAATTGGACAGTTAAAATCTTTTCTGTGTTGAGGCACCCATCTGGCTGCTGCTGCCGGTGGTTAGTCAGACGAAGAGCTGGCGTCATGCCTGTCCTTCTGAGTTTATGAAGCTTGATGAATTAATTGAATTTTATAAAGTTCTTTGAGCTATAAACATGAAAGGTGTTATGGATGTGACAGATAGTTTATTTTGTATGTCCATTTTGCACCAGAGTCCAGAGGAAGCTTTTTATTGTTCAGCTTCAGCCCTGAAGCAAGCCAGTAGCAAGGACGGGAACCCCCTGCTTCATCAGGAATCAGATTTCACAGAATATGCCAAAAAAATGCATTTTAGCATATATTCAACATATTTTTTAACATCAAAATCTGAAAGTTTTATATTTTCTAGGAAATTCTTCTTCATTTTGATAATTCAGGAAGAGAGACAAAACCAGACTTCACTTTGACAGTTCTGTGTCATAGCTCAAATTTTGTGGGATCTTTGCCTCTATCTTTATTATTTAGCTATTTCTTTTTCCTTAACAAAGATGCCTTGTCATTCTTGATTTGAGGAGACAGACAAAGATAGAAACTGGGGGAGATTAGAACCAGCAATTTGTTAGTGATTTATTTCCAAAGGAGTGGATCATTGCTGTTTCTGAGAGATGACCTATATTTTATTGACAGGCTTGATTAAGGTTGGAAGTTCCTGAGGAACGTGAAGGTTTCTTTTCTCTCCCCACAGTGATTTCAGTTAAATGAGTTTGTAGTTCTGCAAAAAGGATCACATGAAAACCAGCAGTCCAGGGCTTCCCCCTTGGGGGCCCACGAGATCCTGCATTTAAAGCATAAAACAGGAGTACAAGTGACAGTTTTTGCACAGGTAGGGACATAAGGAAAATCAGTGGTTGACTGTGATCTGACACCTTTGACTCTGTGGAAAAGGACACAGTCTGGGGGTAAAGGAGAAATGACATGTTAGTTGTCTGTCATATAATAAAAAGTAAGGGAGCAGAAAAATCAAGCATGGAAAACTTAGGCACCATTAAGTTGAAATAAACCAAAACCTGCTAATAAACCCACATGAACCCAATGGCCCAGGAACTAAAAATATTTAGTAACCCTAAACTTCCCTGTTTATTCTTTAATCATAGTTAATTCACTGCAGTCTCAGTGAATTCAGGCTTTTCCTTCTGTTCTATTAGGGTACTAGTGAGGGTGGGAATATTATTAAAGGAAATGTAATTACAGGGACCAAAGTGGAACATGTAGGTATATAAACGTGGGAGAAATTTTAAGGCAGATTTTTTGTTTTTGTTATGGATGTATTTAAAAACTATCTGAAGCACCGGGATGGAGAAACAGTTTTTTAGACAATTTCATTTCGTAGCTGTATGTCCTTTTGTAAGAACATTTGTAAATGTCAAAAATGCCTAACTTAAAGCAACAATTTTCAATAGGATTTTATTCTTAAATTTAAACATTATGACAGTAACTAAGATATGGTTTTACAAATATGTCTGTGGCCTGCCAGCCCATACCTCGCTAAGTCTATTATTAATCATGCTCAACTTTTTATTTTACTTCTGGAATTTTTCTTTTTTATATATTATATGTCAGAAAAATATTTGTATCTTTGAGTCTTTCAGCATGTTTCAATAGGACCCTTTCATCCACAGAAGAAAATACACTCTATAAGAAAATGAAGTCTAAGTACCTCTCATTTTATTACACTTTCCTTCATTGTGTTCCACGGATATTGTATTTTTTTTTACAAATTACAGCTTTGTACCAACCCTGTGTCAAGCAAGTCTGTTGATACCACTTCCCAGCAGTGTATCAACACTTGTATCCAGTGTTACATTTTGTAATTCTTGCATTATTAACAAACTATGTCATGGTTATTGTATCTGCCCTGGAGATCTGTGGTCAGTGATGTTTGATGTTAACTATTGCGATTGGGGGTACCGCAAACCATACCCGTATAAGAAAGAACATTTAATTGACAAATGTTATGTGGGTCCTAACCGCTCCACTGACCTACAGCTCCCCACCTCTCTTCCTCTCTTGGAGGCTCTCTACTCACTGAGACACTGTCATATCGAAATTAGGCCAATTAATAATGGGCCTCTAAATGGTCAAGTCAAAGGAAAAGTTACACATCCCTTACTTTAACTCAGAAGCTAGAAATGACTAAACTTAGCAAGGAAGCCATGTCGAAAATGGAGGGAGGCTGAAAGTAGGCCTGTTCAGCCAGGTTGTGATTGCAAAAGATAAGTTCTTGAAGGACATTGAGAGTTCCCTCCAGTAAACACTTGAATGGTAAGAAAGCCAAACAGCCTTACTGTTTATATGGAGAAAGTTTTAAAGGTCTAAATAGAAGATCCAAGC